GGATAGGTGGGTGGGTGGATGGATGGTGGATGGATGGTGGATGGATGGATGGTGGATGGATGGATGGATGGTGGATGGATGGATGGTGGATGGATGGATGGTGGATGGATGGATGGTGGATGGATGGTGAGTGGATAGGTGGGTGGGTGGATGGATGGTGGATGGATGGATGGTGGATGGATGGATGATGGATGGTGAGTGGATAGGTGGGTGGATGGGTAGGTGGATGAAATGATAAACATATAAACAAGCAAAATATTATCCTCAAAACTAATTCCACACTTATTTAAGATAAACTTCTTCCTATTCTATTTCAGATATCACATGCCTTCTCCTTTCCATTATTCCTGCAGAGAGGCCCTAGAGCCTCCTCTGTATTACTGACAGTCACTTTACTCCAGTGTTTACCTTCTTGTTCCTCTTCCACCATGCGTCACTTTAAGCTATCCTTCCACCTCAGCTACTTATGGGAGCTTCCCAACTGTCTTCACTGCCTATCCTTTTGAACATTAATGTTTGCTTTAATCCATTCTACACTCATTTTGAGAGGCATCTTCCAGATTACATTTGATCATACTAATCATATCATTCTCCTGTGTTAAAAACTAAATGAGGTCAAGACAGTTCAATAGGTAAAGGCCCTTGCCACCTAGTTTGATCCTCAAATGTCTTCAAAAGGAACAATCAACTCCCTCACAAGAGTCTTCTGCTGTCACACATGCATTCATGCACACACATATCCTAATATACACAAATAGAGAACAGTTTGAAAACAAGCCTAAATAATCTCCAACCCTCGTCAATGTATGCCTTACTTTTTGGATGCAAAGGTTGGTCCACATACCATATCAGTAGGAACCTCCCATGGGCCAACCACAGCCCTACATGACACCCTGTGAATCTCTCCTGATCTTATAACTCCATGCCCTTGAATATGTTTTTGTTCATTAAAATACCTTTTCCTAGAAATGACGCTCTTACTTTCCAAGGCCTGTCACAAGGTCAGCTTTTTTTTTTAATAAACAAAACCAAATCTCTTCTGCTCAACCTCAGGTAATATATTCTTAAAAAATGTTTGTAGGTATTTAAATTTAATGCTAGTAAATTACATTTACAATTACAGAATCCAATAATCTTACTGAAATATCACTCCAGAACTTAGTAACATCATGCTGATTGGCCTGTAGGAATTCTGTAAACCACTTGATTGAACGTTTGCTGCCTTTGTCTTCCGTTTCATTGCGTTCAAACCGTTCATTGTGTTTGTTCACTGAGTAGTTGGTCAGATGCATGTATAACTGGGTCTGTAAGGAGGAAGAACACAAAGTGTTACTTAAGAAAGCCACAACCATGCGGTGTCACTGAAAAGAGAACCTCAAAGACTGGATAAAACTTAAAAGTTCTTAACCTCGGAGATAACCAGCATTGATGGATAAAGCTTTTCCTAGAAGTCATGGGCTGATCAGAGAACACCCTGGTGCTGAGGGTGAGCTGCAGAATGTTGATCAATGAGGGCCAAGCGACCCCCTAAAACAATGTAGGCAATTGTCACTGCCACTGAGTACCCATCAATACTAGACATTACTGTGGAAGGTACTGCATGCTCTGTTCAAAGGAAATAAAGTAATCAGACTGGAACTGAGCTCAAAGCTTCCGACCTGCTGGATCGTTTGCAGAGCGTTGAAGGTACTGGGAGTGCTGAGGGATTAGAAACGTCATCAGCATTCCCATTGACGACTGGTAGACATGTGCCTACTGCTGCTATAGCAACAAGTCAGTAATGGGATAACCACATCCTGTTTGGACTCACAGTCCATTATGCAGCAAGGAATCCATATCTGGTATTGCAAACCTTGTCAAATTGCCTTCAAAATAAGGATGTTTGTGCCCACAGGTGAGTTGCGCTCTACTTTTGATGAGAGAGGCTTCGTTATGCAGTGGGCTTGCTAATGACAGAAACTCATAACTGGTGATAAGCGCACGTGACAGCTGAGTGTTCAACTAGCTATTGAATGCCTGCATCCCTCCCCATCAACGCTTAGTGGACATTATAGAAAAGGGGGAAAGGAAGAATGTAAGAGTTGGAGAAGGGGAAGAATATTGTAGAATGCTGTACTCTGGATAGACATGGCCACCGTGCCCATGAATTCAAAAAAGCTGTAACTACTTGCACTAGACATGCAGAAGATTTGAATAATCAATGTCCATTCCTGGAGGTCCCACTCACCTCACTGAGGGATTTATAGGAAGTAAGTGGTTGGTGATGAGAGAGAGACATTTTCTCCAGTGGCACAGATGCTAGTAAGGTGCCTATGCTCCTGTAAACAAGCCCTTCCCCATGGCCCTGAAGGAAACCCAGTGAAACAAAATTAATAATAAAAAGACATGCAAGTATAAAAGGAGGTAGTTAGGAGGGGTGTGAGAACAAGAAAGGACACTGGGGAAATATCAAAATATGTCATGTGCATATATGAAAATGTCAGAATGAAGCTCATTATAATATACAATTAATATATGCTAATTAAGAACATAAACCTCCAAACTGTACCAACTGATGATTTGAGTTGCTTAAATATTTTCCAGTGAGATAAATTGGCACTTTTCCCTCAAGAGGGCCATGAATGTTAGTACTGCAGGATGACTTACTAATTATTTATGATATCTACAATCAAAATACAAACAAATGATATCACAGGAAGAAATTAAAGAGTAGAACTGGACATCGCTGAGTCAAACTACTCCATTAGCCCTTCATTACCCACTTGTTTTCAGTGCTTGGCCCCATACTTTGCTTATTCAAATGTATTTGAGGAAGAAAATTTCTAAGAAATGTTCTACATGTTTTAAAAACAATTTAAAAATGAAAGCATACGGAAGCAGGGTACCCAAACACAGGACTACAAATGCACCTGTCCCCACAGTGCACACTGACTGAGAGGGCACCTGGACCCCTGGTGGGCAGGGTACCTGGCATCAGCAGGCAGTCACTGCATATTTGATAAGGTTGTCTACATGCTGTTTACAGAAGTCTACTTATGTCTACATATCTACGTGCTGTCTATATGCTGTCTACATGATCTCTACAGATATCTACATGCTGTCTATAGATGTCTACATGCTGTCTACAGATGTCTACATATGTCCACATGGTATCTACATGCTGTTTACAGATGTCTAGATGCTGTCTACAGATGTCCACATGATGTCTACATGGTGTATACATGCTGTATACATGTTGTCTACAGATGTTTGCATGTTGTCTACATGTTTCCTACAGATGTCTACATGCTGTCTACAGATGTCTTCATGTTCTCTACAGATGTCTACATGTTGTCTACAGATGTCTATATGTTGTTTACATGTTTTCTACAGATGTCTACATGTTGTCTACCGATGTCTACATATTGCTTACATGCTGTCTACAGATGTCTAAAGGACAAGTGTGAGACAGAGCTGGCCCTGTTTACAGCATTTGTGTTTTAGACTTTTCATGTTATTTGGCTGTTTTAAATGGAGCCTGTTGTATTTGTTTGTTTGTTTGATTTTTTTGTTCTGGAATACAATCTCACTGGATAACTTGGAACTCACTGTGCAGCCCACATTGGATGAAATTCATGATAATCTTGCCTCAGATTCAGGAGGTAGCACCACACCTCCTGTTTGTTGGCACTATTTTCTTTAAGTAAACTTGAAAAGAATCAAAATCTAAAACTTTTCTTAACTCTCAGCAAATATCTAATGCTTCCCCACCAAATTTGCATAAACATTAATAAAATCTATCTATAATTCTCATCCTTTTCCTAATCCTACTGCCCAAGATCGTTTTGAATAGAAATTTTTCATCACACTGAATATACGTACATACATATATACACACAAGTATACATATAAGCATATTATATATATAAGTCTGTATGTTAAATAAAATCTTCAAGACAAATAAATGGAGGCAGTCATTTCAGCTACTTGTTTATTAACCTGTGTGCCTATTGCCACTGAAAATCTTTCTTTTTAATGATTATGTGATATTCAAAGAAAAACCACAGAAGAAAGTGCAGTAGAGACCCAGAAAAACATGCAGGCATTAAATTGTGTAGCCCTTCCCAACACTGAATGCTATCAGAAAGACTCAATGGGTTGGCACATAGGAGACTTTTCAAGGATAGACCAGTCACTACAGAGGGTGGGCATGTTGACAAGTGTCTTTAATTCTAGCATTTAGAAGACGGAGACCAGAGAATCAGGAGCTCAAGCTTATCTCTGGCTAGATAGTAAGTCTAGGGCAACCAAGGCTACGTGAGATGCTGTCTCAAAAAAAAAGGGGGGGGGGGGAAATGAATGCTGTATTTCAACATTTCAAATTTCTATCATGATCTTTGTCATGAACCAAATTACATGCAATGATGCTCATAAATTCATTAATAAATATAATTAAGTATACAATATAATTTCCTAGAGAAATACAAGAGCTAATAAAAGATGTGTATTCACTATTTTAAAAATTAGAAATTGGACTAAAGTAAGCCATGCAGTAGCATACCATCCCAAACCACCAAAGAAACTGTTCTGACTTATATTCACCGATTTAAAAATATTGTATATAATTGTACAATCAATTTCCACAATATCTTGTTTATTCTTCACGCAGCACCCTGTGGATTTAGTAGTGGAGTCATAGAGATGAGTGATGGATACTGGCATTTAAGTAGACTTACCTTTTTCTACATATGTAAGGAACCAAAGCCAGGAACTTAAATGTTTAAAAGCAGCTATCAAAATAAGGCATGGAGGTTTACCTGTCTCCCTGGCTCTCATTATGGCCCTCTAACCCAGTAAACTTACTATGTGTCTATAGCTTAGTATTTCAGAATAGAACCCCCCTCAAGCCTTATCCTGTCTAACATCATGAGACGTCATCACCTTATACATGTACAACACACTCTCACCCATTCAAATTATTTAGATTATAATCTACAAACTGACATGCCCCCAAACTAAGCACATAGATCAGATAGTTCGTCTGTGAATAAACAAATCCTCTCAGAACAGATCCAGTTGAGGGTCAAGACCAAATATGTTAATTTTCCACAAAGCCTTCAGGAGCTCCTGAACTCCCAGTCCCTACAGCTCATTCCCCAACTGTGCAGGCCAAACACTCTGGAGTTTTAATTTCCCTCGTTCCACAGACCCAACCCATCACTCTGGAGTAACATTGCTATCTGCGTTCCCTTCAGTCTACCTCAAATCTATGCCCTGATTTCAGAATCATCTCTCATCTCACATGGCCAGACTGAAACCGCGTCTGGTCTCCCACACTCCCAGTCTCCTTTTTTGTCCCCTATACTCTTTCCCCTTGTTCCTTACACTGCAGGGAATGGGCTTCTTAAAACTCCAAATCTGATTCATCCATTCAGTGTATCATCTTGAGCTGAGTCCCCAAGTCCAAGAAAGTCCTTGACAACATCTGGAAAGATCTTGTTTCTGGGACTCCGTGCTCATCTGTGAATAGACATCCTTTTTCTGGTCTGTACTTTGGCCAGACTGAACTTGTCTGCTTCCTATAGACTTTTCCTCTTCTTTTCCCTAAACCCCTGTTCTGTGTGGATCTCCCCTCAATCTGGAGCCTGGCTAGCTCATTCCTCAGACTTCTTTTGACATTAGACTCCATCTGGAAAGATGGCCTACTAAGCATTGCCATAGGTCCATCGATTTCAGGAATCCATTGACACTTGCCATCAGACATCCCTGTTTTCTACCTCTCCAATAGACTGACGCTGCTGTGAAGTCACACACTGTGTTTTTGTTTCTCCCAAAACATCACAATGATAGGGAATCTCGTACACTTCGAATGTTTCTTGCTGAAAGTCAGAAACAAACTTTACGACCACAAATAAGACATCCCTTCATCCTAACACCCTTTCCTAATGTTCTTAGAGTTCCCTCATGTCTTCCTCTCCAGGTCTGCAAAAACTTTTAGTTTACTAATGGTAACAACTTTGAGGGTGAGCCACTATTTAATTTTGAAATGATCAATCTTACTAGAAGTGTAAGCAAATGTTAGAAGAGAATAATACAGGACCTTGGAAAACTAAGAAACAAAAGCATTGTGATTTTTCTTATACTCAGTACGTTGGAAATATAAGATTAGAAGTTAGCTACATTGGAAAAAATACCTATGAGATGGTTTGGTTACTAGATCTCTAAAGGCATGCTGGAGCATTGAGCTTTTTTCCCTTAACTTCACGAGTGGTCAGTGCAGATTGAGAACCCTGCCTCCCTCTGCCACTGTGAAATAACCCCGATGCTGATTAATTCCTGCCTTTATCTACATGTCTTCTTCCATGTTTCCATGTTCATACTATACAGTTTACATGAAGCTTCGTCAAACATCACCTCCTCGTGGGGGAGCTGACCCTCGTGACCCCTGCACCTCACTATATTTCCCATATTGCACTGACTTTATTTGTAGTGCAGTCATTTCTAAAAAGGAGATGGCATAGGGTCAAAGGCTCAGAAACCAAACCAGGGAGAGCGTCTCTTCCCAATGAGCTAACCGGATGTTCCATCCCGTTTTCCCATCACTTTCTGTCAGTGGGAAGCACATGATTCATTCAGCCATCAGGACACGGAATGTCAAGCTGTACAGTCCTTACACATAACAGATGATTTAAACATTGAACAAATGAGCAATAACTAAGTTCTCTGTCGTCACTTACCAAGTTGGACTCATTTGGTGGGATGTACTTCTCAGTCCCCATTCGCACAAGCCCATCATGGTAGAGAAATATCTTTAATGGATCACAGGATGTAACCAAAATATAAATCCGTAAATCAAACTTGTAGCCTTCCATTAGGAAAGGCTTCTCAATGTATTCTTGAACTATCAAATGATCCTGAGATGGAATTTTATCCCCATTTCTTATCAATGAAATCCTGAGTTTAAAGAAAACAAATAAAAAAATAATTTGATATGGAGGCTGAGAGGCCAGGAAAAGAAAACGTCAACTATGTATTCAGGGAGAGAACAGCATTATAGAAAATTCCAGAATTCTGCCCTCCACAAGAGCAATGAGTCGGGTGGTGTCAGAAGCCAAATGAAAGCTCGCAACATCCAGAGAATATTTTGCCATGGCGGGAGGAGTAGTGGAGGGGACAGGAAGGGAGGGAAACAGTTGTAAGTTCTACTCTTGACATATTAACTAATTCTGTTCCACTATTCAATCCCAGGTGAGCCATGGCCCTGTCAGCCCCTGCTCCTAGCCCGGAGCCTAGGTCTAGAGTGGGCCAAGTGGATCGATTCCTGTGCATTTACATTGACAGCCTTGGGCTTTCCAGATGCACTCAGCTTGCTTTGATTTGCCTAACACAAAATATCTGCAATAGAGGAAATTACTACATGGTTTAAAGGAGACACAATAAAATGACTATTTAAACAGAGGAGAGCAAAATTATGAGGAAAAATTTAACGACATGAAACATAGTGAGCATGACATGGATACGTAAAACAAAGAGCAAACTGACAGAAGAAAACCACTCTATTTTAGTAACTAAATCAAATGTCAACAGATTGGCTTGTGAAGTGTGGTTTGAGAAATGGGTTTTAAAAAACTGATCTAACTACAGTGTCATCAAGAAAAGAGCACCTTTAGAAATAGAAATGCCAAAGGTGGAGACTAAAAACAGTGGTGGGAAAATGAAATCACGTGGTATTCTGAAGTGTTTACAGTTGTATGCAGCAAAACAAAAATTGCCATGACAGACAAGAGACAAGATGTGATTCTGTATGATAAGCAAATATTTCAAGAATATCAACCTTTAAAAAATACGGTCTTGTCGGGCAGTGGTGGCGCACGCCTTCAATCCCAGCACTTGGGAGGCAGAGGCAGGCGGATTTCTGAGTTCGAGGCAGGCCTGGTCTACAGAGTGAGTTCCAGGACAGCCAGGGCTACACAGAGAAACCCTGTCTCGAAAAACCAAAAAAGAAAAAAAATTTATGGTCTTGATGAGCTACAAAATTTAGCAAGCAAAAAATGGTCAAAATGAAGGGGGAAATGGCTCATCTCTGGTAGTTAAATGGCTCAGCTCTGGTAACTGCAGTCTTCGGTAGCCCACCTTCAGAAACAGGACACTAGACAGAGCAGCAAGGACATGGATCTGGTCAGTAGAATCCTCCTGTACCCAGTCACTATGATGCTATACCAAATACTCCCACTCCAGAGAGAATGCCCTTCCCATGTTTCCCCATTGTCTCTGCATTGCTAGCAAATATGTTACTAATACTCATAAGCATTTACTAAACACAGAAATTGAGAACGGTGGCCCCACCCTCACCATTCCTCCAACTTCCTTCGCACTGATGGACAACAGGAAGCTAACACGAGACTCATCAACTGGCACAAATCCCCACTTGCTAACACACTTCTTAGCCTGTGCATGACCAAGCTCCAACATAATGTAGGATTGAATCAGTGCATTGTGCTCACAAGTTAAATGTTTTCTTAAAAAAAAAAACCAAAAACGGCTAGCTTTTCCAAGGGTCTCTTGCACGCTAGCATTTTACATTTTAAAAAAGTTCAAATGACTCACATGGATCTTGATAAAAATAGCCAACTTTCTCTTTAAAGGTGCACTACAGAAAATTAAACATAAGCAAAAAGAACCAAAATTTTTATGTTGTGCATTCTATTCCTGAATAAGCTGTCTGGTTCTTTGGTGTGTTAGCTTAAAATTTGTCCTGTGCAGCCTCTATCCAGTTACCATAGCTACCAAAGGAAAACACTTATTTATAAAGCAAGGCTATATACATTTCGCCTTGAGCGTTCTCATTAGGACAAGAGAATTCTTTCTACTTTGTTCTTTAAGCTAATTTAGCTGTAGTGCAGCAATTTACCTTATTATTCAATATTACTGAAATTACTATAAGTATGCATCATGTTTGTGAATAAATAAAAAAATAAACTTTTCCCTGTATGTTATTATTTCTTTAAAGTCTCACAAGTCTTGGTTACTTTTTAATTGGATTACTAAAGTCTTTGAGAAGATTCAGTCATAAAACCATGATAGTTAGAAACGTAAACACACAATAGTTAGAAACGCATTGCTTTTCCAGTTTGGCATTCAAGCAGAAGTCATTGTGTGCACATCTTCCCTCATTTTGCAATGTTTATATTTTCCAGGGGGGAAAAAAATTAACCTACCCATGACCCATTGCACCATTAGCTGGTTTTACTATAAAAGTTTTCTGCTTCCGTTTTTTCTTCAATTCTTTCACATAATTTTGGAATTGAGTATATTCAGAAGGGAAAATCCACGTTCGAGGAACAAATGTATAATCCATAGGCCGAGACTTGATCATCCTGTAAATCGGAGGCAAGAGGAAACAAATTCTATTCAAACTAAATAAATCTTATTTCTGTAACAGTTATACTATGAAGACTTGGATTTCTTTTTTTCTTTCATTTGCTCCTTTACTTGTGAAGAAAAGGTACTAGACAATAGTCCAAACGAGATATCAGCTGAATAAGGAGACAAGAATTTCTGCCCCGTTACACACTGACTTACATTTTAACTCAATGGATACTTATTTGAGTGTGCGCCGTCCTAGGCCCTGGTGCAGTAAGGTGAGGTAGCACCACCTCTGCCTCCAGTGGAGTTACAGACAGGCTATGCGCACAAGGCAAAGACTGAAGGCATGAAGGGCAGGCTAAACAAGTATCAGCACTAGCCAGCTCTCGTGGAAGGACCAAGAAGAACATCATTTATACTCCCGTTTATCCCTGGTGTTCCAGTCCCCTACATCATCACAGACACTGACTCCTGACTTCTTTCTATGCCATTGCTTTAGAGTTTATCCACTGTTCTGATAAAACCACCTGAATCTCTGAGTCCACAGTCTGTCCTCTGATTCTGTTGCATTTGCTAGGATTATGCTGCTTATTTTGATTCATAATTTGATGGCACTGCTAAGTGTAAGACATTTGTTTGTGGGGAAGGTGGAGGTACTGGAGCTTGACCACAAGGCCTCTCATGTGCAACTGTTCCACCACTGAGCATACCCAGTGCCTTCTTTGTAGTTCGTATTTTAAAACGAGGCTCACTAGTTGCCCGGGTAGGCCTTGAACTTGCAATTCTCCTGTCTCTTCTTCCAAAGCAGCTAGGATTACAAATTTGTATGACACGGCCCGAAGAAATGTTTTCTTTTTGATTTATCCAAGCCTTAAGTATTTTATACTTAGCATAAATTCCCAATAGAAATGAAAATGAAGAATGATTTTTAAATATCATTAAAGATAATATTTTCTTTTTAAACTTTACTAACTAAATATATATGCACATTTTGTCTGTGCACCATGTATGTGCCTGGTGCCTGAATAGCCAGAAAGGGGCATCGGATTGGAACTGGAGTTACAGATAGTTGTGGGCTGCCATGTAGGGGCTGGGATGCAAGCATGAAGAGACATTTTTTCTTCTAAATATGTAGTGACCATGAGTATAGTCTGAAAATAAGGTTACTCAAATTAAAATACAACCACAGGAGACAGACAGCAGAAAAACAGACTAAAATCTGATCAGAGATGCAGAAGAACATCACCAGTGGGTGAACCAGCTAGACTGTCACATAGTTAATACATGCCAAGAACTTTCCCAAAGATGCTCCTGGTGTGTGTGTGCGTGTGTGTGTGCATGTGTGTGTGCATGTGTGGTGTGATGTATATGTGTGTGTGTGTGTTTGTGTATGTGTGGTGTGATGTATATGTGTGTGTGCGTGGTATGATGTATATGTGTATGCATGTTTGTGTATGTTTATGTGTG